CCAGGTGCCGCCTGTGCTTGCACGACCCTGAGACTGAGCACCGACTCAGGGTGTGCAGGGTAGGTGCTTCGATGGCTTCACCCGAGTCCCAGCCTTGATATCGCCACCCCTTTGAGCACCTTCTCCGCCACCTCATTCGCTCAGACCCTGGTTGTGTGAGATGACCCCTGTGACCTCCCACCCTGCTGGCCTGTAACCCCCTCCATGACATCCCTCTGGGTCTGCCGAGCCTCCTCTTATGTTACTGGTTAAGCTGAAAACTGACCCAGCTGAAGGTCACAGGAGGTGGTGGTATCACAGGGCTGACACATCACCCTGGCCAGTGGGCCTGTTTGTTCCCTTTCATGTGGCTTGCCTTGGGACAAGGCCCCCTTCCAGAACTGGGCCTGATGGTGAGGTCCCCAGATCTTTGTGAAGCTGATGGGACCGCTGAGATTTGAGACCCAAATTTCATCCCCTAAACCCACACAGGGAACCAGCCAGGGCCCTGATCCAGAATTAAGATTAAGGGCGTTCAAAAGGCCTGGAGCATAAACAGATGGAAGTGCAATTCAGATCAGCCAAGCATTGTTGAACGCCTACTACGTGCAGGCCACTATGAGCATCAATGTGACCAGAAAGAGCGGCCGTCTCACTTTAGAGTTATTTCTACACACAACTGCTTTCCCCACCAGGCCCAGAGTGTCCACGTGGGGCCAAGGACTTGATCTCACTCCCTTCTGTGCCACACCCTGCCCTCTGCCCCTGCCGTGACCTCAGCCCAAAGCACAGTGGCTGTGGCACAGAGGAGAAGCTCAGCAAAAAGCATTTAACTGCATGGAACTGAATACATTAGGTGGAGCCAATGCTCTCTCTTGGTCCCACATGGAGAGGTAGATGGGGGATGCTGAGAGGCACAGGGCAGAACCATGCAGGAGTTGTCAGCTAAGAACCGTGGGGCTGCCCATGTGCTGGGGGCGGGGTGTCAGAGAGAAGTCTCCACGAGCCAGGCTCTCCAGGGTGCTGCACTGGGATCCTCCACTTTCATCCCCTTCTCCCTGAGTGGATCCTGCTCCCTCCTTCTCAATTGAAACTGTTTGCTTTGCTCTGTCTCCCAAAAGTTCTTTCAGAACTTGAGGTTGGGGACCTAGGGTAATACTCAAAATATTTAATAACCAGCAAGGCAGCGGCATTGGCCAATCAGAAGAGAAGCACAACACCAAAATGCATCCAGGACTCTCAGGAGTGCCAGTAGTTAACCCTGCCGCTGCTGATTCATGGGGCGGTCCTGGGGATGGGCTGGGTATCTGGGGCAGGGCTGGGGGCACCCTGGGGGTGCTAAGACTCAAGGTTTTCATGATAGATACATCTTTACAGGACATGCTGGTGGATGTCAGCCTTGTAGCAACTTGAACAACCAGTCCTGACTGTAGTGTTTTTCTCCCATCTGCAGATAAACTGACAGAGGAGGAGTTCATCGAGGGGACCCTGGCCAATAAAGAAATTCTGCGGCTGATTCAATTTGAGCCTCAAAAAGTGAAGGAAAGGTTCAAGGAAAAGGAAAAGAAACCCTGATGCCAACCAGTGACCTCCCCTGCCTCCCCTTACTGCTCACATAAACATATACTCGCATGCACACACACTCCCCCTGCACATACACACACGTGTGCACACAAACACACCCAGGGGCCACAGCATGTTGAACCCACAGCACATCTCCCGGGGGAATGAAAGCATCTTTAATGATCTGCTGGCCCCTTCCTCCCTTGCCAGCCAGAGCCCCTCCCACCACACCCACCTCCCTGCTGCCTGCCAGCCCACACCTCCGGTGATAATCCCGGGATTAGGTCTCAGGACTCCTGAACATCACCCCCTGAGTAAGCTCCTTTGAGGATTGCTGGGTAAGCAGATTCTAATAAATGTGAGAGTTGCGGGGCATGCTGCAGGCTGGTGGTTCTTGAACCAGAAAAGCAAATGACTTGTCGGTTCAGCCTCAAAGACAGGGACACATTGCCATTGCAGTCACAGGTTGGGGTCTGGGTCTGCAGTGGTGAAGATGGTGGACACGGCTCTGCTCTCAAGGGGCTCAGGGTGCACAGGGGACCACAGTCCTCAGAGCTGCCATTGCAAGTGGGGAGGTTCCCATGGAGGTGTGCAAAGCACTGTGAGCTGTCACAGGAGGGGCTGCCTGGTCCAGAGGACCAGAGAAGCTGTTCTTGATGAAGAGACATTTGCATCTTAAGACCCAGAGGACGGTTGTGAGAGTGAGGGTGAGGGTGAGGGTGGGGGTGGGGAAGCTCTGTGTCTGGGCAGGGACCCTGAGGCAGGTTGAAGGTTCCTGTGCAGAGGCCAGTGTGGCCAGAGCCAGAAGGAGGTGGGCCGGCCAAGGGTGAGTGAAGCCTGACAGGCAGGCAGGGCCAGACCACACCAGCCTTCATTGCAGCCCAGGGGAAGCGTTCAGCTTCCCTGTGGGGACAGTGGGGACCCTTGTGGGGTTTGGAGCAGGAAGGATCTACGTTGGTAGCACCCTCTGGCAAGTTAGAACTAAATCAGAGGGGCAAGCCTGGTGGCAGGGAGGCTGCAGGCAACATGGGTCTAGTTGCCTAGGTGGCCTGGGCTGGGGACCAGCAGTGGGATGGAGAGAATGGGGCCCCTCTGGAGATACGGAGGAGGTAGACTCTACCTCCCTGGTTGCAGGTGGAGCAGGAGGAGCAAGGATGGCAGCCAGGTGTGTGGCTTGGTTGCTGGGTGAACAGGGATGCTATCTACCAGATGGGGGCAGGGGGAGTGGCTGGGTTCAGGGGATAATGACAAGTTCACTTTTCATATGGTGAAAGGTGATGACAGATGTGCTGGAGGTCCCTCATTTCGGAGACAGGAACAGGAGGCCCAGTGTCAGCAAGCAGTTTGCCCAGCTGATGAGCAGAGGCCAAGGCTGCCCACTGGCCCATGTTGCCTTATAAGAGCAACAGGGCCTGGGCCCACCCAGAAATCACTCCACCAGTGGGTTCTCAAGATCACTGGAGTCACTGTTTGGAGGGCCCATTTATTCTCCAGTTTTAAGTTCCAAGGTGAGGTCAGAAAAATATGCAGATGTCCTAGATACTTCACCGACCTGTGTGCACCCTCCTAAAACAGGGGCATCTCCACTTGCTGGTCTGCACCCCCCTGAAACAGGGGCATCTCTGCTTGCTGGTATGCACCCCTTGAAACAGGGAAGTCTCTGCTTGCTGGTGTGCAACCCCCTGAAACAGGGATGTCTCTGCTTGCTGGTGTTGGGGGTGAGTCCCGTCCCCACCCCCAGCTTTAACCACAGCAATGGCACAATCGCCACCACCAGAGAGTGCTGCTTTTTGTGGAAGGTAAACTTGAGAGTAACCTTAACACTTAGGTTTGGAGCCAGACACCCTGCTAGACACGGGGCATTATTTCATTGAGGGAGATGTTATCCCCATGGTAGAGAGGGGGATGCTGAGGCCATGAAGCCAGAGCAGGATTTGGTACTTAAATCAGACCCCCTTTGATTGCACTAGGTTGCCTCAGTAGTTCTGACCTGGAGGTGACAGGACAGAGAATTCTGTGATCCCACAATACTGAGACTGGGAGGGAAAGGGGGCTCACAGCATCTGGGCCAGCAGTCCTTGGAGGAGGAAAGTTATTATTAGACTCACCTACCAAGACACCTCTCTGGTGTTAGACATAGTGAGGCACCCAGGAGCCAACTCTGGGGGAGAAGAAAGACCTTCGGTCTAGCCCAGGGTGGTCTTGGGGCAGAACCAAAGGGCTCAGTGCCTCACTCTGGTGCTCCTCCTCCACCCTACACACAACCTTCCTGAGTGAATCTGGTTGACTGGAATGTGAGGTTGCAGGCTTTTCACTCCTCTCTGAGGTCAGGGCATCCATGTCACTTGAGTCTAAAATGACAGACACTGCATAGTAGCCTTGTTGGTCTGTTGTTCAATGAGAGGTAAAACAGGGCCACTGGATCTCCTACTGGCCAGTGAAGAACCCAAGAGTGGTGACCTAATTAGCACACTCATTAGCTTGGGTGGCAGGGCTGCTTGAGCTGGGGTCCAGTACAGCCCTGGGGCCTCTGCAGAGAAGATGCTTAGAGAACCCAGAATCAGTATCAAGTCTAACTGGCCTGAAGAGAAGAGGAGGTAGAGGTGGTGATGAATTACATCATGCAAGGGAAAGAAGACCCAACATGGACTGTTTTGGCACAGGTAGCAATTTACTGATTCATTAACTGAAATTCCAGGAGGAACACTAACTTTAGGTCTCACTCAGTCCGGGGCCTCCGACAATGTCTCAGAGCTCTTTCTCCACCTCCTGGCTCAGCTTTCTACCATGGTGGCTCCATTCTCAGGCAGGCTTTACCCTGTGTTGGTTCTAATTTCAGCAGAAAAAAAAATTCCTTTCTATGTACAGTGAGTCTTAGCCAAAATCCCAGGACTGTCTCTGACTGGGTATACGCCCATCCCTGCTCCAAAATCTGGGCCCAGGAGGAGGCCATGCTCGAACTGGCCCAGCAGAGTTTCATGTCCATCGTTGGCACTGAGAATGGAGTTGAGACAATTCAACTTCAGGAACCAAGAGTGGGAGATAAGTAGTCTCCAATGGGGAAGATGTGGGTGCTATTAGTATAAGAGGGGTGACTTGTAAAAATGTGTCCACTATGGAGACTTTGGGAAGTCACTTCACCTCTGAAGTTCTGCTTCCTCATGTACCTGTAAACTCAAGGGCAGAAATGCATCTTCATCGAGAAGAAAAGCCAAAGTGCCCTGTCCCCTTTTGCCACCTGCTCTCACAAGACCCCAGCCTCTGGTGCAGTGCCCCTCAGGTATTTCTTAGCATCCCCACAAATTCACCAACAGGCCCCTTAGTGCCAGGAACAGAGCACTGAATTCTCTTGGGCATGGGAGCTGTTCGGCTCCAGTGAGAAACAAATGCAAAACAATCAATAAAATACAAATCAAATTAAATAAACTTTTTATTTTAATCATTAACAGGACAAGAGCAAGCAGTGTGTGTGTGCCACCCCATTTGTGGAGTAAGGGGGGAAGGACATATTTACAAAGCTATGAAAAAAAAATTTCCTTCTCCTATTAGTGAGAGGGTTCCAGATACCTGACCCCCAGCAGCATCTGATGCTCCTGAGACATTTCCGTCCATGTCATCTGATGCACGTGTATTGGGCTCCTACTCAGAACCAGCTGTGCTGGGTACAGGCTGGGAATACGACATGGCCCCAGATTTCCTGGAGCTAGTAGGCTCATGAGAAAAGGCAGGGACATTTGCAGAGAAGAAAAATTAGGACATATGATTTGGTGATTGAATCATGGATAACCTGTACACCAAAAAACAGACCTTTGTTCTGCACTTGCCTAATGCCTTCAAAGCTACTTTAGTTTTGCCTTTTGCAAGACAGAGGCAGGACTAGGGTGAGGGCTAGATGAGCAGTGACCTCAGGTGCAAAATTCAATGGGGAGGGGACAAACAACTCAGCAATCAACATTAATCATCTTTGAATGCAATCGTTTAAAAATAAAAATTAATGTTAAAAAATTTGGAATGAGCAAAATTGCACCTGCATGAACTGGCCTGGCTCCCCTCACCCTCATTCCAGCCCTGGTTTCAATGAAACATCATTTGTATGATGGCCCATAGGCTGTAGTTTGCAGATTTGATTTTTTTAAAATATCACATTAAGATATTACTAACCTTGACAATCAAAGATTTTTTTTAAGTACTCTCAAATCATACACCCTCTCTTGCCTCTAGTCCCAGCCCTACAGCAAAGTACCCTTGAAAACAGAGTTGTCAGGTGAAATACAGGATGCACAATTAAAATTGAATTTTAGATAAAGTATATCCCAAGGGATATACTTTTACAAGATTATTTGTTTACCTGGAATTCAAATTTAATGGAGCATGATGTGTTTTTATTTGTTAAATCTGGCAACCCCACTTGAGAAGTGACATATAGCCCCCTTCTAAACATAAGGCACTACTATTTAGTCCCATGACATCACACCCCACCCACATACACGTACACTTTACACACTAGACAGGCAACATTCCTAGGCATCAACACCCTGTTTCCATAGGATGCTTCTCCTCCCATCTTCTTTCCACTTCTTGCCTTAGAGTTTCAGCCACTGAGCCAGACCCTATTTGCCTGGGGCCTCCTCAGGCTCCAGAAGCACCCTCTCCTCAGGGTCTGGGGCACAACCCAGATTCTGTGTGGGCAGAACGGGTCACACAGGCCTTGCCCTCTCAGTGTCCCCCTGCCCCACCAGCATGTCATCCACTGCAGCCCTATCACTTCACCTGGCCCTCCAGCTTTCAGCATCCGTGTCCACATGTGGCATGCAATTCCTGTCAGTGGGCACTAGGGGCAGGGAGAGCAGTGGCAAACTGCTGGAGCACCAATGTGTCAGTGGCAAACCAAAAATGGCAGAGAATGGGAGGGCAAGCCAGGCTCAAGGAAGCCAAGATGAGAAAGGCAGGCAGAGCCAACAAGCAGAGGAAAGGACTGATAGGGGCCTCTCAGAGGGGCCCTCAGGACTGGGACCAACCCTGAGAGGAAGGAGGGGGCTGTTACAAATAAAACAGAACTTTTGCTGAAGACCTGAGAGGGAGAGAGGAAGGAAAGACTTGACAGGAGAGGAGGAGGGGAGAAGAAGGAAAGGAATCAGGTTCTGTGGGCAGCGGGGTGACACTCTGTCTGAGGATGGCGGGCATGTCACAGCCAGACTGCAGAATTCAGAACACCACTGGCTTGCCCTGCCATTGGCTGTCTAGGCGGGGTTCTAGCTCTGCACACTTGGGCTTGCGTCAGAACTACCTGGGAAGCTCATTACCCACTGACAGCCCTGGCCATCCTTCCAGACACACTCTCCCAGACCCTGCCAGGAGCAGGACTATGCAGGTAAAACCCTTCCCAGGTGGTCCTTCTACACCCTGCACCCAGCCCCACATGGAAACCTTGTGCCACCAGGGGTAAACTAAAGGAAGAGAGGCTGGCTGCCCTATTTCATAGCAGACATCTCTCTGTATCTTGGGGCTCCATTCACTTGAATTTAGGGCCAGCCCCAGAGGCTGGTGGTCATTCCAGAAAACACCAGTGGAGTTATTAGGATGACAAAGGCAGGCAGAAGCGGTGAGTGTTTATGTAACCTCAAGCAGAGCAAAGTGGACTGAGTGCAGGAGGAGTGTAATGAGCATTTCCCACAATACCCATCTGGCTTGGCCTCCTCCACCACCCATCTCAGGAGTCCCCAATGGGCAGAGCCAGAGCTCTGCCGCCTGCCTAGGTCTCACTCTCTTCGAGAATCTCCTCCATGGTGTGGGCCAGAGAGAAGTCTCCCTCACTGCTTTCAGACAGGCTGCTGCCATAGGACCAGGCTGCATGGCCCCGCTGGGACCTGGTGCCTGGCTCCCCTGGGCCCTGCGCAGTCAGCTGCAGTAGCTGCCCACCGCCAGGCAAGGACTGTGGCCTCTGCAGGGCCCTGGCACTGTCTCTCTTGGAGAACTTCTTGGGAAAATTCCCCAGGAACCGGAAATTCTTCTCCAGGACCCAGGCTCTGCAGCCTGAGTGGTGGGCTAGCAGGAAGCGGACCCAGTGCTTCCGCAGCTCAGCCTTCACCTGCCAGGGGAGAAGAGGGCAGGGTTACTGTCTCAGGGTCATTTGGCCATGGGTCCTCTCAACAAATATTTACTGATTAAGTGGTGAATCTGGGCCACCTTGGGAAACATACCTCCTACTTGGGGGAAATGAACAAAGAGGAGCAAACCAACCCCTGTTAGCATAGCAGATGGAAGTGACACTGGGAGTCCATTAAGCGAGACAAGGAGGGAAGGAAACAAAGTTTGGGATATGGTTGAACAGAAAGGAAAAGGAAAGGACTGTGTCAAGGTGGCATCAGAGGCATGCCTGATGGATGAAGGAGCCTCTGTATGAAGGAGCAGCCGTGAGCAAGATGGAAGTGGGTTTGCTGTCAAGAAGCTTACATTCTGGAGGGAGGAGACAGAAATAAATGTTTGAACCTGGGATTGGGGGAGGAGAAGATGAAAGGGGACTGGAAATTCCCCTGACTCCTGAGGTCAGGAGAAAACTATTCTGGGTCTGCCCCTTTCAAGCTTCTTTCCAGAGGGGCAGAGAATTGGTTGGGGTTATGCAATAATAGGGATAATAAAAATGATCATAGTTATCAGGTGTTGGACCTTTACCACAACCTCAGCATGCTCAGGGCAACATTAGAAGGTAAGGACAGTTGTTATTCCCACTTTACAGATGAGGAAACTGAGGTTCAAAGAGCCACAGTGACCTAACTCAGAGCTCCCAAGTGAGTGAGTGATGGCTACAGTCCAGACGTCTGGACTCCAGAGTTCAAGCCTGTGTCCTCTCTCACATTCCCACTGCCAGCCTGTCTCCAGAAGCACTGGGATGGGGTTCTGAGCTTCCTTAGATGCACCCGGTCTCCTTTTCCCACTGATCTAAGATGCCTCCTGCTCTCGCCCCTGGAAGCTCACAGTGCAAATTTGTCCCATTGAGAGGTGGTCACTGGACACTCGCCCATGGCACCATCGCAGAAACAGGGGACCCTGGGGGCAGCAGGATGCCAGCCCAGCCTCACAGGAAGCTAGATGGCAGCATGAAAAACATACCTCTCCATTGACAAAGCAATACTGCAAGGCCACAAGCAGCCCCTGGAATGGAAAGAAGAGGTGGCATGAACTTTGACTCAGTAGGAGCTGTGTCTGAAAGTCCAGAGCCCTGCCCCAGTCCAAGTAGCCCTTGGGAGAGGCAGGTACCTATACTGCTTGCAATGCCTAGAGTTAGTCACACTGGGTAACTGGGTTTCTATGAGGGCTCTTCTTCCTTTGACACCTACCACCCATACCAGCCTAGGTGTTTGCTTAGGTGCTCATAGGTCAATGACGATTAAATCCCAAAGACCCTGTATCATTCATTCAGCTATACAAATAACATGCAGGTCCACTGGCCCATTTCTCCTCATCCATGGTGGGCATTGCTTAATTTTTTTACATCCCTTGAATCCTGTCCTTTTGGAAACTGACCTTCCCCTACTCCCCTTCCCTAGGCTTCTGTCAGGGTCAATCACGCAGTCCCCACATTCTAGGATGGCCATCACCACAATATAATCCACCCAAATTGTCTCATGACCCAATCTGAGATCTTGTCACTGGGAAGAAGAGAGGGTTGTACCCTCTTCCCTAGATTTGCCAACCTTATAGTCAAAATAAGCCTGGAGATACTTCTGGGCATCTTGCCAGCTACATGGAGAAAGCCCGTCTAAGAATGAAGCCAACAGAGAGAGAAGCAGAGGCTGGAGGCAGTGAAAGGCAGAATTCTGGTGATGCTGTCTGAGTGTCTGGATCTGGCGATGCCTAATTCTGACGTTTTCATTTATGTGAAATAGTAAACACCTCTTTCCCTTGTCAAAATATTTCTTTAGAAAATATAGATGATTTCACACCAGTGATTTCTCATTGCACTTGGATGAAAATGAAACAACCACCATGGGCACTAAGGTGATCTGGGCTGTCTGCGTCACTGGCTGCATTTTGTACCATGCTTCCCTGGGCCCGGTATCCCAGCCACATGGGCCTCGGGTTTCCTTCAGCATCTCCAGTTCAGGTAGTAGTTACCTGTTGCTGTGTTGCTGTATAACTTAGTGGACCAAAGCCACACAGATTATCATCTCACATACTTTCTGTGGGCCAAGAATTTGGCAGTGGCTTAGCTGGGTGGTCTGAATCAGGTCATAGTCAAAAGGTCGGTAGGAACTTCAGTCATCTGAAGGCTTGAGCTGCTCCCACAATGGGTCACATGCCTGGCCAGTTAGTGCTGGTTGCTGGTAGGAGGCCTCAGTCTCCCTCCACAGAGCTGTTTGAGTATCCTTGTGACATGGCGGCTGGCTTCCCCCACAGGGGCCAAGTCAAGGGAGCAAGGCAGAAGCCACACCCCATTTAGGACCTGCCCTGAAAAGCTGCTTACACCCACAATACTTGTGGTCACACATGTTTTGCCTGGTACGTTGTCAGACCACTTGTAAAATATGATGGGACCATTTCTTTCTGTCCTCTTCCTAGTTATTTAGAATTCTGGACCCAAGGATCATAATGAAAACAACAGGACACCTTTATATGGCATTTTCAATGATCAAATATTTGTGTCAGGGAAGTTTCAATAAAGGGACCATATTTTGATGTTGGAAAAACTCTCTGGATTCACTGCTTAACTGCCAGAAGTCTGGGATCAAAGATGCTTGAGTTCATGTTTGTTTCCACTGTTTTTCCAGACTCCTACACTCCCTGATTTATTAAACAGTCCCATGTCCCTGCAGTGTGAGGGTCTGTGGGGCTGGGGCTGTGTGTCTGATACACTGAAGCTAGCTGTGTGTACTGGGCCCAATGGCTTGAGTGTTTACAGGAAGAATCTCATAAAACACCAGAACTCACAGGAAAGAACATGTTCCAACGTGTGGGTCCCAGTGCAGGCTGAGTCTCCCATTTCTTTTAGTAACATTTCTCTCAGCCCTGTTTCTGGTAAGAGAGGTGCAACACCAGGGAAAATGATGAAATTGAAAAGGAAGGATAAAACATTGCTCAAGGGGAAGATTTTTATGCTCTTCCTCGTGGATGCCTGACTCTTCATGCTGACTATCACAACATCGATCAAATGATGTGGATTCTCCCCAGTCATGTGGAATTTTTCATCTCTTATGCATCTAGCTATTCCAAGGGTATGGCTCCTAAACAGGGGGATGGTGGTAGCAGTTAAACATTTTCACATGTGCAGCCTCACTGGAGGTTTGCAGGTGCCCGGTATAGGGGAGAGCCAGGAGTATTGGCCTCTGGGCACATGATATTAGAGGGTGTCTTAGAGCGCATCAGAATCCTCATGAAATGAGTTAGCTAAAACAGGATTCCACATCACAGACATGTCTCTCATTCCCTCAGGTTCTGGATTCACTCTTAGGAACATCCTGGAGTCTGGTTAACTCTCATCCTAATAAAGTAAGTGTGAAGAGAGAGGCCCCAGAGGACATACGTCATCTCTATTTGTCAGTCTCTCCAAAGATCCTCGATGGTAGGAAGAGGTGAAAATCGCTAAGCAATAAGAACTTGAAAGAGTAAGGGACTCTCAAAAGCAGCAAGAAAAGATCCAGTGCTGATTCCTGCTGATTCACTATGCTATGACCCACCAAATATGCCCCCATGCATCTGCCCACCCATATTCTCACCTCTGCCTGGTGGGATGGAAGGGAACTGTGCAGGGGTATAAAGAAAGTGGGAGGCCTCTGACCATGCACACCCCCAACTGTGTTTACTGGCTCAGTCTGCAGAGCCACTCTGCTTGCCCGCACTCCTCAGTGTTGCACCGCAGCTCCTGAGTGGAGCTCTGTCTGGCTGCAGATCCAAAGGATCCAGCAGGGTCACTAGTCCCCAGAGATGGCCCCAACTATTCCTCCCTTCCCTGTAGGCATATGCTCTTCCTCACCTTAAGAGGTGGACATTATTTTTCCTTTGAATCTAGGATAAACTTGTGACTCCTCCTACCAATAATACAATGTGGTAAAAGTAACATTCTGGGATTTCCAAGTCCATGCCTCAGGAATGTTGGAAGTTTTTACTTTCTCTTTCTCAGAACACTTGCTCTTGGAATGCTCCAAAAGTCCAGCTGCCATGGTGGGAGATATCCAAGAAACATGGAGCGGCCACTCGGGGAACTGCAACTCCTTTGTTAATTGGTAGCCTCTGCTGAGCTTAGCCAACAGCCCAGGTCAAGATCTAGCCATGCAACTGAGCCATCTTGGATGTCCCAGGCCAACTGAGCCTTCAGATGTTTGCAGCATGAGCCAAAAATCACAGGTATCAAAGGACCACCACATTAAGTCCAGAGAGCCCAGCTCATGGAACCACGAGAGATAATAACGTGATTACTGCCTTAAGCCATGACATTTTGGGGTTATTTGTTACATAGCAATAGATGACTCAGACATGCTCCCTTGCCAGAGAAGCATGATGGGATAGAATTCCTTCTCAAAAATCTGTCCCTCAGGGGGAAAAAAAAAGGCCACCAAGTACTACTGATATAACAGCTGCAGCGTTTTATTGTTATTGTTTTTTTTTTTTCATTTGGGATTACCTTTCAAAGAAGATTAAGCCCAAACAACATAGGAAACCCAAATTACTAAACCTTAGCTTTTGAAATCTCTCAAAAGATTGACATAAATTAAACATGGTTTTATACTGAAAAAAAAAAAAAGTTGCAGATCGGTCCTCTGTCTCAGTTCAAAGATACACAAAATTCAGCTCTAATAGGAAGGAAATGGCCATTGTCCAACTGCTCAGCCCACTCCTCAGGCTCTGTCTCCCTGGCCTTTTGTGGGTGTGTGATGGGCAGAAACATTGTCTCCACTCTGCCCCCACAGTCGCAGCACCTGACCCTGTCTGCTGACTCGGGTGTAGGGGATTTTGGTGTCTCCTGGTTCTGACCTGGTTCATGGCCCTGAGGAGTATGATGGTATGATGGTCACAAGTAGGGGTTGAGCTTAACCTCTGTGTATAAATTAACCTCTGGCACTTATTAGAATTTGCATGCTCTCCTCTGGGTCTCAGTTCCTTCATTTTTAAAATGGCACAATACTTTCTCCCTCACAAGATAATGTGAGGATTCAATGAGATCAAAAGTATTGGGGAGTAGGTGGATATTTTCTAGCATACCATTTTAATTCCTCTGCTTGTATCCATACTATATGTTTTTAGTTACCTTCCTGGTTTTGTACCAGAGGCTACAACATGAATCTTAACTTGTCATAAGCTATTTCATATTAATACTAACAATTCTGGTAAAATATAGAAACATCTTCAATACAGCTCTATTCTTCCTTGTTCTTTTGTGCTATTATTATTATAAAATATTAGATCAGTATATAATACAGTTTATAGCAATAATAAAGCTTATAATTATCTTATTAAATCTTACATTTTTAAAATCAGTTGAATAAAAGAGAAAAATATATCTTTACATCTTTCATATTTACCTATGTGTTTACCTTTTCTAGTGCTTTTTCTTCATCCACATTTGAGTTATCAGCTCCTGTCATTTTCCTCTGCCTGACAGACTACCCCTGATTCTCCCCTTAAGGAGGATGGCTGGCAATAAATTCTCTTAGTCTCTGTTTATTTGAGTATGTCTTTATTTTACCTTAATTTCAGAGTGTAACTTTTGCTAAATATAGAATACCAGATTAAATTATGTTGTCTTTCAGCATTTTGATTATGTCATTCCACTGCTTTGGGGTCTTTCTTTCTTTCTTTCTTTTTTCTTTCTTTCTTCTCTCTCTCTCTCTCTCAATTACAAAATTTAACTGTAAGGATCAAGCAGTGGTTATTGGTTAAACAATCCACATTAATAGCTTTGAAGTGTGAGGGCACTAGTTCTTAAATAAAGGTGACAAACACCAATCAGATTCTCATAACACTGTTCAGGGTCTAAATAAGCGTAATTCTGAACACGGTTCAATACACAAGGATAAGAGTGATAGTGCAATCACCAATGATCAAACCAAAGGCATTGTTTTCCAAATCACTTTTAGTTGAACAGAATTCTAGCTTTCTAAAAGTCTACATCTACATAAAACTCAAAGCAATCTAATGATGTTTTCATCTGAGATCAAAACACATTTATATTTTCATATTTAAACATAATTCTTGACATTGAGGTAAATCTGAAATCACGTGATGTATTTTGTCAAACTTTCCCTCCAAAATTTAAGCCCTGCTTTACAGAGAAATTCTCATGATACATATACATATTTATGTATTTTTCTTCAAAGACTAATGACAAATTTATGAGGTTAATAGGCTTGAATTGGAACCAAGATGCTAATATGAAAATAAAAATCCACCCATTTGTAAAAAGTGTTCCTGCATGGTGTAATATGAAATGTAATCACAGAATCTGTGTACATATAAGAATCATTAAGAGTTCAGGAATTAAGCTAATTTTAAGAAAAGTCATTCAATAATTTTTTGAAGCAGAGGTTGTAAAGTTGTGATGTATAAAAAAATATTGTATATAAAAACTCCAAAACCAAGTATGAGCCTAAATTGGCAATAACTGCAACTCAAATTAAAATCTAAACACAACTAGATCTTTACTGTGGCAATGCTACTTTTTTCTCTGTGGCCTGAGGGTTTTACTGAGACAACAACCTCTTATTTCTTGCTTCTCCTTGCATTCCCTAACCCCTGCCCCCAGCTACCTTTTTTAGGGCTGTCTTTGGCAATGCCTCCAAATCTTGAAAGCAGAAGAACCTGTTACAGTAAATGAGGAGGGTGAAAAACAATGCTACATATGATGTAAAATAACCAAGCTAGGAGCATAAACTGAGGAAATACCAGAAGGAAGGCTGAGCAACAGTCTATCCTCAAGGGAAAAAGAGAAAATAGAAAACAGAGGAGCAGTTACTCCTTGCCCTTCTTCCATGTTATCTCCTGATTAGAAGAGTGTGGAACCAAACTTTCAAACTCTGAAAAGGTGCTGACTCTGAAGGAAGAGTGAGGCAAGTGAATAAATGCTGAAGAAGTACCGCAGGACTTCAGCTGTCAATGAATATCTTTACTCCAGCATTAGCAATTTCGCGATACGATCTCTGCTGAGGTCAGCCTCTTCTGTGATCCAGTCTACCTGTCAAATTTGAGCCTCAATCACAACGCCTGTGTCCAGGGCCACGTTTTTTTAGATTTCCCAGGATACTGCCCACTTGAGTCAGGTTCTCCTCCATTTCACCTTCTCTGGCACCATTTGCTATATATTTAATATATCCACCACTGGCTGCTCCTGTGGTTGCTTGCTGAGGCTGACCATTTGTCACTCGGCCTGGCTGCTTAGAGCCAACACTTCTAGAAGAGTTGTCTCTGAGATCTCCCTATGTTGCCTTAGAAGACTTGGCAAACTCAAAGTTCTTTGTCCTATAACATGAACAGACACAAAGGCCACAGCACTTGTTGAGTCCTGTTAAAGTCTTCTCTGCCTCACTCTGTCTTCATGGATTTGGTCCTTGCCTTCTTCTATGTGGTTTAGTTGTTCCCCTTGTTCATCCAGCACAGTGACAGTCTTGATTCCTGCATCCTGAGGCTCAGTGACTAAACCCAGGGTTCCCCTTGTACTTTCCAGAGACTCATCAATAACCTGCTGAGCCTACAACTGAATTTATTCTGATGACAGATTATCCCTGATGAATTAAAACTCTTGAGAGGCACAGAAACTGAAATGTGGATATTCCAGCAGTTCTGTCACTCCTCTCTGGCCACAGCAGCTCTGGCCTCCACTGCTCTTGATCATAGTCAGCCGTAATTGTATTCTTGGTCCCCAGATGGAATCAGTCATTTTTCTCTTGTTATTTTCAGTTACTTTCTCCTTGTGTTTGGCTTCCAACAGTTTAATTCTAATGTTTCTAACTGTGAAAAATCTTTGTTTTATGCTACTTGGAGCTCACTGAGCTTCCCGGATGCCTAGATTAGTGTTTTTTCATCAAATTTGGAAAGTTTTCAACCATTATTTCTCCAAATGACTTTTCTACCTTTTTCTAACTCCCTTTGTTTCCTGGGACTCCCATATGTGCATGTTGATTTTCTTGATGGCATTTCACAGATCACTGAAGCTCTGTTATTTTTCTTCATTTCTTTTCCCTCTGTTTCTCAACCTGGGTAATCATAATTGAACTATCTTCAAGTTCACTGATGCTTCCTTCTGCCACCTTAATTGATATTGAGCCTCTCTGCCCCAACTAAGATCACAGCCTCAGGCTGTGACATTGTCTTTACTTGTTCTTTTGCCACTAAGAGAACTGTTGTATCTGACAACACCTAGGGGAATGGGCTTTTTCTGCTGTCTGATCTACACCAAGCCAGTACTTACTCCAGTGAAGCAGCTAGTTTTCACTAGAATTTGCTCATTTACGGAGGAGGGGCTGGAGGGCAAGAATAGTCTCAGGAAAAAAACACACAGATTCCCACTGATTTTACTCAGGTTCAGTAATTTTTCTTGAATAAACTCATCTCAATCTTTAGTATCCCTTTGATTGATTTCCAGGGTCTTGAAATGGATGTTATTGACAATTATGTCCAATTTTGTATTTGCTTTTTGAAGACAGGATTTGCCAAGCTTCTCCCGCACCATTCCAGATATCTTCCTACTAGACTAGCATTTTAAGATGATTAATTCCAATATTACTACTGTATGGGGCTTTTGCTGTGTCCATACTATCTGTGGTAGTCTTTTGCACAGTGATTTTTGCTAATGAGCCATGCTTCCCAGTTTTCATGCCACAAACAGTCTCCTCTACTTCAATTGAGTCTGGGTCTTTAAATAAACTTGCTTTAAATAGTGGAAAGCAGTAGTGTCACTATGCAAGTTCAAGGTTTAGACATTTAGAAGGCCTGGGAGCTCCAGCTTTTGTGCTCTTAAGAACCCTGAACTGCCATATGAAGTGCAGCTACCCTGCTAGAGAAACCATGGGGAGAGAATATGCAGAGAGTGAGAGGCCTTAAGACTGCATGGGACTGAGGAATGTAGTTGACAGTGAGAAATGAAGCCCCAGAAACTTGACTCAAATAAAGCCACTCCCACCAGCCCTAGTCATCCGAGCCTTTCCAGCTTAGGAATCAGACATACAAGTGGAGAAGCCATCTTACAAGTTTCAGCCAGGAGGCATCACATGGTGCAGAGGTGAGTCATCTTTGTCATGTCATACCTGGATTTATGACTCCCAGAATCATGAGAATAAAAATAATTACTGTCATTTTAAGCTACTGAGTAATGGATAACAATTCAAGCAATGGCTAATTAAAACACCAAGGTAAATAAACCACAGCTGGCCTCCTGGTTCTTATTTCAGCCCCCACACATTTGTCAAGGTTTAAGAACCTTCTGGTCTCAACCCATTGGTCCCTGCTAAAGTTGTTTTGTGTTCAAGTAGACCACCTGAGGTCAATACAATGTTCATTTTGCACAATGCTCTGCAGAGAACCCAGCAAAAATAGGCACTTAATAAAAGGCTTCGTGTTGACATAGTTAATATGATCCTAAGTCACACCAACAATTACAGCCCAGGAAACAGACCACTTTTCACTGCTTAGCCACCACATCATGCTGGCAGGATCAAAGCAACATGTCTATCTACACTCCCTTCTAATGCCAAAAGCTCTCACTGACAAAGCTTGCTGATTCTAGAACTCTTATTTCCACCTGTGGGCTTTCTCAATTTTGAGTCTGTTTGGATCAAGGGCATTTTGTTTTCTCCAAAGCCAAGGCATCCTGGTTCAGATGCTTACTTACATGGAAGGAGCTCAGAGTCAACTGAATGAAGAGTCGTATAAGTCTTGAAAATCCTTGAACTTGATCATCAGGGACAAAAGAGAAGATAATCTCATGAACACCCAATAAAGGAATGAGAACCAGCGTTGATTTTGCCAACCTGCAACGACAACCAAATAATTATCATGAGGGCCACATTGGGAATAGGCAACACTTCTTGTCCTTCTGGGCAAGCCTTTATTGTAGCCATTATCATATTGATAAACAATTGATTTTTCAGTTTGTTTTCTTGGCTACACATTGAATACCTTAAGGGCCAGTGTGGTCTTGTCCTTTGGTGCATCCCAACACCTGACTCATGGCAGATGCTCAGAAAATGTGAATTGAATGAATGAATGAATGAGTTCCCCATATAGATTATGATATATCTACAAATATACCTACATTTTGCCTAATGGATACATTTCCATGCACATGCCTATCACCCTGAGGCACTACACCTCTACTAGGTTTGACAAGTGTCTTATTACCTGGCTCACTGGTGCCTCTGTCTCAGTCTCTGCCTCTGTCAGAACTCCCAGTGTCAGTTCTTTACTGAGCAGAGAAGTCGGGGGGTGGGGAGAATAACACTTGCCCAGGGTCACAGGGCCACTAAGCACCAAGTAGCCACCTGGAAGCAGGGCTTCTGATTTCACACTCAGGCCCTGCACACCACAGGCAGGCCCCCTCATCATCCCCCATGCAGCCACTCAGCCCCAGTGATGGCGAGTGCACAGGAAATGAGAAAATGATCCTCCTCATAAAAAGCACTGGGTGGAAACTCCCTGCTGTATACACTGCACACAAAAAGACAAACATTCCTTTGTACCACCCACGTGCAAAGTGCACAGCTGGGGCCCACACACTCCACATCACATAGAGGTGGTTCCCAAACATGGCTGAGTATTTGACTACTAGAATGCCTCACAGAGCTATACACACACATCTTCCTGGCCTCTGGGGTGATTCTCTAAATCAAAACCTCTGGAGTCTGGGTCCTGGGAAGGCGCATTGTTGAGGAATTCGCCCAGGGGCTTCTGACAAGCAGCCACATTTGGAAACAACTGCTCTTTACCATTGAGCTGCTTCTTGATTTAAAACTGACTCTGTTAGCAAGGGTGATTCATCCTCAGGGCACAAACAAAGGTACTGTTTTATAGACATTGGGGAAAAAAGAGCTTAATTGTAATGAGTATTTTTAGCCCAACTCATTTTCTTGAAGGGTCAGACTAGGAGGCCTCCCCACAAACTCCCTGGAATGAAAGACGTACAAATTGTAGAGGGTCAGCAGTAGCTCGTGGGCAGTGTCTTCAGGAAGGCATAACTCTCTCCAAGAGAAAGCAGCACTATGAATCCTGGTTCTGTAAGAGCCATTCAGCTGCAGGATCATCAAGGAAGCAAAACAACTCACCTTTGCCCTAAAAGGACCTAAAGCCAGTAAGAGCTGAGCAGGAGTCACCCAGAAGAGGGACTTCACCCAGGCATGTGGGTTGTGCCCACGGCCTTGACCATACAGGAGAGGCCGAGGAGTGGGGAGTCTGAGACACAAGCCCTGGTGATGTGGTTCGCCTGTGCCAAGCTCACGTGCACTCCTGCTCTCAGATCCACCCACGCAGCACTCACTAGCTAAGCAACAGCAAGGTGTTCCCAAGGAGAGACTATTTCTAGACAGATTTTTTGTTGTTTTTAATTTCTAGGAATGTTTTAAAACCTGTTAGCTTGGAGCTTGGAAAATGGCAGCGTGAGCTATATTTGACTTCTGGACATTTTCTGTTTCTATTAGGCAGTGATTTTTGTTACTTAAACCACCTTTAAATGATAAGATGTTAAGCAATGACACCCAGATTTGCAGCTTCTTTTGAAAAATGGGGAAATCGGGACCAAATTCCTGCTTGGCAATCATCAGCAACAGCCTGACGATGGCTGTCCCTTTAGAGGGAATGTGTGCTTTCCAACCCCCAAGCAGCCTGCTGGGCCCCTGCAAGCATTTGAGGTTGCGACGCTTGCTCTGGTTATATTCATACACGTGGACCTGTGTCTCACCATCAGCTTATTCTTATGGCTTTGCTACAGCATTATGTTTTTAAATAAACTTTTTTATTTTGGAATAACCTTAGATATGTAGAAAAGTAGCCAGGATAGTACAGAGAGTTCCCAGATACCCTTCACTCTGTTTCCCTGATGTTAAAATCTTACATAATCACAGTACATTTATCCAAACTGAGAAACCAACCCTGGTATGTGACTAACAACTTTACTCCAGACTGCATTCAAGTTTCACCAGTTTTCCCACTAATGTTCTTTTCATGTACCAGGATCCAATCCAAGATCCCACATTCAGTGTGGGGTGACTTTTAAAGAATGACCAGCATTTTGGGAAGTTCTGGGTCATTTTAGTAACCACCATGTGTTGGGAAGGATGTCATAAGGGATTTCCCACTCCTCACTTCATTCTAACTTCTCTCAGGCAAAGGACTATTTGTGTCCCTGTTTAGATAAAAATCCATAAATATCTATAGGAGTTTACTCTTATGAACTGGGTTTATGCTTATTTTTTCATCTTTATTCATTTGTTTATTTAAATGACTTAGTTTATTGTAGTCAGTTAGCTATTCAGTAAATATTTACATCTCTGTAGCAAATGAGAGTACAATGGGTGGTGGGGAGCTGGGATCAAGAGCAGGAGAATATCTGGGACCTGGGTTCAAATCCCAGCACAGCCAAATGTTAGCAATGTGGCCTTCAGCAAATTATTTAACCTTTTTATTGGTAAAAATGTGGATTATACAAATAAGAATATAATATAAAATAATGAAATAAAAATAAAATATTACTACTAATAATATCTGACAGTGTCATGGTAAGGATTATCACATGGTAAACCCTCAGAATAAATGGTGCCTGATATGCAATGAATGATCACAAAACTTTAGCTAGCCCTATTTTGAAAGAAGCCATCCCTGCCCTCAAGCTGCTTACAACCTCAATGACTTTGATCAAGTTTACTTTCATTTGTGACATTTTTCATCTTTGGTTACCCACCAGAAAATCCTTTCAGAAAAAGCTCCTGGGTTTAGCATGTTAAAAAATGATTCTCCTTCATAAACTCATTAAGAGCTCTGCCCCACGCATCCCATGGACAGTCAAGACCATTTATCCAGAGGAAGTGAGCCCCCTCCATGCTGGAGCCACAAGGCATGGAGATGTCCGACTATGCTGAGGGTCTGCAGGTGTCCATCTGCATCCCAGGGCCATTGCCCTCGCTCAGCCTTGGCGTGGCCCTCCCCCTCCAGGCTCAACAACAGATGGGCTGCCTGCGGTTTCCTCCACTGGAGCAGTACAAGCCTATACATGAGGGCTAGGACCACAGAAGGTTCCCCAGATCCTAGCAACTTGCCTCTTTGGCAAAGCTTAAATGTGTTTAATTTAAACTTTCCTAAAATAGACTCCTGGAGGGGGACCAAATCTTGAGAGCTATGTTCTGAAAGTTCTCAAAAATCTAGGAAACTTGGAGATGGGACTGTTCTACCAGAGTTTGTACAAAACTGTAATAGGCCCTATTGCCCACATCCCTTCTCCTTACCCTAGCAGAGGACTCTAATGGGACACAAACATGGGTGGGCAGAAGAGGAGACCCTTCCAGCAGGGAGGAAGGCAGGGTGAGCTGGGGATGCTGATGCCCCATGGAGGTGACAGGAAGCAGCCCTCCCTGAACTTGGAAATGAGGGAGTCAGCACAGCTTGGGCAAATGTGCTCATGGCTGCTGTAGGAATCACCAGCCCAGGAGTGAAATAAAGTAGCCTGGGCATGACCTGAGAGATAGGGCCCCGATATTTTGCTAATTAATAGCATAAGTGAAATCAATTGCATTGTACTCTGTGTGGGGGAGTCAGTAAATGGAAGGCAAGTGGTCAACCAAAGTGGCAGGAAACATCACAAAAAAGCAGGAATTTCTTAGTACTTATTGGGCCCTATCTGTGAAGACTGAGGAATGAACTTCCCTCCCACCTGGTGGGTGGCAGCACAGGACAATGGTGGTTTCTCAGGCCACCAGCCAGGATCCTTCATCACTAATCACTCTACTTGGAGGATGTGATCACCAGTAACATTGTAGTAACAGCTATCTGTTTCTGGATCTATTTTTTTAAACATTTTTTATTGTTGTTCAAGTACAGTTTTCTGCTTTTTCCCCCCACCCCTCCCCACTACCCCAGCCCTCCCCACCTCCCTCCCCTGTTTCCACCCTGCCTTGTGTTTGTCCATGTGTCCTTTATACTTGTCCCTGCAAACCCTTCACCTTTTTCCCATATAATCCCCTCCCCTGTCCCCTCTGGTCACTGTCAGCCTATACTCAATTTCAGTGTCTTTGGTTATATTTTGCTTGCTTGTTCATTTTGTTGATTAGGTTCCTATTAAAGGTGAGATCATATGGTACTTGTCTTTCATCACGTGGCTTATTTCACTTAGCATAATGCTCTCCAGTTCCATCCATGCTCTCACAAAGGGTAAGAGCTCCTTCTTTCTTTCTGCTGCATATAATTCCATTGTGTAAATATACCATAGTTTTTTGATCCATTCATTTCTGATGGGCACTTAGTTTGCTTCCAGCACTTAGCTATTGTAAATTGTGCTGCTATGAATATTGGGGTGCATAGGTTCTTTTGGATTGGTGTTTCAGGGATCTTAGTGTATAATCCCAGCAGTGGCATTGCTGGGTCAAAAGGCAGTTCCATTTTTAGTTTTTTGAGGAAATTCCATACTGTTTTCCATAGTGATTGCATCAGTCTACAATCCCACCAACAGTGCACTAGGGTTCCCTTTTCTCCACAACCTTTCCAGTACTTGTTGTTTGTTGCTTTGTTTGTGATGGCCATTCTCAACAGTGTGAGGTGGTATCTTATTGTGGTTTTAATTTGCATCTCTCTGATAGCTTGCAATACTGAGCACCTTTTCATATGACTCTGGACCCTCTGTATGTCCTCCTTGGAGAAGTGTCTGTTCAAGTCCTTTGCCCATTTTTTAAGTGTATTACTTGTCTTCTTACAGTGTATTCATGTGAGTTCTTTATATAATTTGGAGATCAAACCCTTGTCTGAGGTATCATTGGCAAATATGTTTTCCCATATAGTTGGTTCTCTTTTCATTTTAATGCTGTTTTCTTTAGCCATGCAGAAGCTTTTCATTTTGATGAGATCCTATTTGTTTATTCTTTCCTTTATGTCCCTTGCTCTAGGGGACATATCAGTGAAAATATTGCTGCGTGAAATAACTGAGATTTTCCTACTTATGTTCTCCTCTATGCTTCTAAATCTTTGTAAAGTGTCAGCTTTACAAAGACCAGGGGAACTAGAAGAAACTCCCCCCAACCTCCATCTTCCACAGTCTCTAAGAACAAATAGTTGTATAGTCTGGTTTACATTTTCGTGTCTGGTGAGTTCTGTTGTCATCAGCCATCCAAAGTCTCAGCCACTTGGACATACTCATAGGTCCCCAGTACAATCCCCAGGTAGTGGCAAACTTGCCAAGATAAGGTGTCTCATCCTGAGAAGACCCTAGGTAGGCCTGCACCCAGGTTCCTCTTTTCAAGCTTTTTCCCCATACAAGGGTAGGGAAAGGAAAAGGAAGTTTTCAGACATATTGTATGTGTCAGGCAGGGTTCCTCCCTCTCTCCCCCAAATAGTCATGCAAAGTCACTGCTCAGCCATGAGGGTCTCCCCAGTGTCTTTATTTATACTTCCCTAAATCCTTGGCTCACAATGGGGCATCACACGCCTGGGCTGTGCAAGGCAATCCATTTGGTATTGGAAGAAAATATAATAAAAGAAGGTAGTAGAAGTTCTATTATATTCATTTTCACCAACCCTTTATAATTTTCCACTGCTTGGTTTATGTTACAATACATATAATAGACTAGCAGACCATATGCATGTATGATGAAGGTCATGCTCAAAATTTCTTTACTGATAGAGATGCATGATCAGAAAAATTTGGAAACTCTCTTGGATAACTGTAAAGGAGACCTTGGAAAAGATATATCAGGGTGGCTTAGAAACATATTTGCCATGGCCCAGCCAGAAAATGTCATGCCTTTTTTCTCATCTGATCCAGTGCCCCCTATTGAGTCAGAATGCTCAGTGGAGGGGCTCACCAGCCTGTGCTTTAGGCCAACTGCCAGGAGATGCTTAGGAGCAGCCAGGATGGAAGGCTACTGTAAGGACTGCTGTGGGTCTGGAGCATGGGAAGACCAAGTGGTACATGGTGGGCTTTAGGGGTACGGAATAGCAGGGTTTAGGCTCTGTCTTTGTGGAAAGTGGTGCTTTGGCATTTGTATGCTCCTATTTCTGTCTTCTGGGAGTGCTGTCCTTTGCTGGGTTTCCCGAGTGCCTGAGTTTCCCCTGAGCCTGATTAGTAAGAGAATTGCTCCCCTGAAAGGAACCACATAGAATTGACTAGAGCACCTCTGCTCTTGGCCTTGGACTCCCACTTTCAGAGAGTGGTAAGGGAAGCTGACCCTTAGTAAAAGATCCAAAGAAGCTGTCAACCACTTGGAGGTTCTGTCAGAGGCACCAAGAGAGACAGAGAGGCTCTGTGTGGTCCATGCCAGCCCAAGTATCCCAAGGCTAAGGGCTGTTTGCAAAATACTTGGGCCAACTATGGTATATATTTTCCCAGTCCTGAGCCATGTGTGTTTATCTTTCTGACCCCTGGAGGAAGGGTTTTAGGTAGATAGGATTTGGGGTCTGGATCCTGGGCAAATAACACTGCCCACATCCTACTAAGTTGGGACACCTGTGTCTAGGACTTCTGTTTATCCTCATAATGAGCAGACGGTGGGGCTGGTATGAACTTTCACTTTATACAGCAGAAAACAGACACAGAGAGGCCAAGTGACTTGTCCAAGGTCAGTCTGTGAGGCTGGGGTCGTGGTCAGCACCAGCTCTCCTGACTCATGTTCCACACCAGTGTCCCAGACCTTGGCATGTTAGAATGTGTGCTCCTCACAAACAGGGCTCACATCATATTTAGTTTTTGTTCCAAGCACATTTTCAGGCACATTATAGATGTCTGTTAAATGTTTATCAGGTGAATGGAAAAACCATCCTCCCAGCACACCTGAGTCAGGTCCCACTATGACCCAAGAAAGAGTGAGAAGCAGAACTACAGCCATCCTCTCACATACCTCTGCCCTGTTTGGTGGGCTACAATCCCTACCCCAAAAGTTACTTGTTTGGGTTAAAACATTCCTTCCCTAAGAGCCCTGCTGAGGTGGACATGTCCCATAGACAGTAAAGAGCAACTGAAAAAGGAAGACGGGGTCTTTCTGTGCCATTCATTCAGGCATTTGCTCACTCACTCATGCATTTGTATTTGCAGCAGTGCCCTCCTCAGTACCCATGGTCTGACTTGCTATGAACTGAGGCTACTGTCACTGTGGAAAGCAGCAGATGGGATGTAGCAAAGGCAAGTCACAAAGAAAGTGACTGTGTGAAGACATAAAGTTGGTGGTCTTAAATCCCAAAGTTCCAAAAAGACTCAAAGATTCACTTCTGAGTTATGAACATGTCCTTATTCTGTGACCTCAGATCCCTCCCAAAGGTTGGCAACTATCTAATTTCCCTTCATGTGACCCTTTCCTTTCCCTGCAAACCATCCATTCTTAGGAGCATGTTAACAGTTTCCTTCTGTGGGAGCATGTGGGTCCTTGACAACTCACCTCTTACTTCCTTTCCATGGGGCCAGGAAGTCATCACCATTCACAAAAGCCTTACCTGACTCCACGACACTTCTTTCAGAAGGATTCTCCCTGATACCCCTGTGTTAAACTCATTTCCCCTCCCCAGGACATTGGCCAGAACAGCCACAAGGGGTCAAAGCAATCTTAGACTATTGGACACTGACCTCAGGCCACTCACCTGTATTTATAGTCTCTGAAGCACATTTGATGGGCTTTGAGCTTAGAGATGAGAAGCTTGAGAATTTTCAGGAAGAAGAAGAAATTGACCTTGAAAAACAAAGCAGACATGGGTAAGCGATGGACTCCATATGTCTATGAATACTGAGGTCATGCTGGGTCTGGCCTTCAGTTCCTTGTTTGTGTTTAAGTGAGGGGTAACGCAACACTAGCAAGTCAGGTAGTAAGCACTTATAGTAATCCCCACTCTCCCTAAGGCCATCTCAACTGGAAGCCTGGAGAAGATCCCAAAAAGCCATTTAGTTTCTTTTTCTGCCTTAGTTTCTTTTTCACCATCATCTGAGAAAGGCAGATGGACACTTCCATTATCATTATTAACTAATATTTATTGAGTACTTACCAGGCCAGGCATTGGCTAACTTCTCACACATTATTTTGTTTAACCCTCACAATAACCCTCTGAGGAAGCCACATTATTTTTATGACATTATATTATGAGAAAACAGAGGCACAGAGGAGACAAGTACAATTCCCAGTGCCACAAGGCTAGTAAGCAACTGAGTCAGTAATTAAATCTAGACTTATCTGATTACAAAGCTCCCTTCACTTAAAAAAAATTGACACACAGCCTCCATTCTGTAAAGAACTTCAGCACTATTGGCATCCAATTTGATGTCCTGTTATTGCCACAGAATTCACTAGAAAGTATATGTGCTTTACTACCCAGACTACTTTCCACAACTGTAGGAACTAGGAAGATTCAGCTCTTCATTATCAGCCTTGGTAGAAATTTTAAGATATGTTTACAAATTCTTTGACACCTTTCCCATCAAAAAGTTGAGCCTAATATTTCCCTTCCCTCTGGAGTGTGAACTAGATTTAGTTATTTGCATCTAATAAAAAATATGGTGAAAGTGATGCTATGTGACTTCTAGGGCTAGGTCCTCAAAAGGATGACTTTCACCTGGTATCTATTATCTGTCTGTCTATCTACCCATATCCTCTCATTCTCTCTCTCTCTCTCTCTCTCTCTCTCTCTCTCTCTCTCTCTCTCTGCACTCATTGCTCACTCTGGGGAATACCAGCTGCCTTGTGGTGAGGATACTCAAGGAGCCTGTTGAAAGACCTACATGGGGAAATTGAGTTCTCCTACAATAAGTATCACTTGCCAGCCACGTGTATGAGCCACCTTAGAAGCTGATCCTCCAGTCCCAGTCAAGCCTTCATGTGGTTGGAGCCCTAGCCAACATCTTGATAGCAACCTCATGAGAAATCACAAGTCTCCTGGAGAGGTAGAAGAGCAAGTGACTGAGTGTGGGCAGGGCTCAGAGAATGGACACAAGGTTTGTGAGAAGCGATACTGGACATAGAGAGAGGATCACTTCCTGCAGAGCCTTTCACAGTCCCACTGAGGACTTTGGGTTTTCTTTTGAAAGCAACAGAAAGCCACTGGTGAATTTTAAGTGGGAAAATGACCTGATCAGATTTTCATTCTGAATTTTAAAAAGATCATTTTGGCCCCAGTGTAGAAAACAGATTAGATGAAGGCAGACTGGAGGAGGAGGGTCTACTTGGGAGGCAGTTTCAGAGTTCCTGGGGGAGGATGATGGAGAAATGAAGTAAAGCAATAGCCCTGGTGCATCAGTGATGGAAAGGAGAAGATGGACTCAAAATTACTAAGGAGTATGAGTCAAATGACCTTTGTTGGATGTGGGGGGTCAAAGATGATCCCAAACTTTCTCAGTAGATCTCAAATGTGTGGTAGTGCCATTCACCAAGAGAGTGACCACATGGAGGAAGAAGAGCATGGAGGGAGAAGAGGGAGAAGTCCAGGAAATTTGGACACAAGATGTCCCAGGCAGTGAGATATTTATTTCTGGACCTGAGCAGAGAGGTTCCAGTCAGAGCATGGGGCCACTGGAGTAGGCAAGATTATCTAGGGACACTGTGTAAAGAGGGAGAAAAGGAGTCTTAAGAGAACTGCCTTGTAATAAAGAGAAAGGTATAAGAAGTGGAGTCAGCAAACAATGAGAAAGAGCAGCTAGGGCAATTGGAATGAGCCAAAGGGAAATGGTATCCTGGTAGCTTACAACAGGAAGAGTTTTAAGAAGGTTTGAAGACGACATGAAATTTAAACAAAATAAAGCAGCATTTAGCAATAAGGAGTTCCCAAAGAGAAGCTGTAGTTCACAGGTGGGAGCACAAGCCAGACTACCAGGCTCTGTTTTGTGAATGAAATGTGAAGAGGGGAGACAGCCCACTGAAACCACGTATAAGAGGTTTGGCTGCAAGGGGAAGCAGACTGATGGAACAGTAGTTGGCAAGGGATGCAGAATGGAAATAATGTCTCCCCACTTTTATCTGCAGGGCTGCAAAAGGGTTTTGGTTGTAGTAATTTTTTAAATTGAAAAGACTCAAGGGAGAGGGTCTAAGATGGTGGAGTAGGTGGAAGTTACACTCACCTTTTCCCAGGACTACATCAAAATTACATCTAAATTATTAAAAAAATCAACCTGGATAACCATCTGAAGACTAGATGAACAGAAGTCTTATAACTCTGAATATACAAAAGAAGTCATGTCAAAACTGGTAAGTAGGGTGAAGACGTAAAAAGATCTGGCCCTGCAATCAAGTACAGCCATTGAGAATCTGGACGGATATCTTAGTGGCAGAGGTCCCTTGCTGAGAAGAGAGGGGTCTCAACTCCATGGCAAGCTCCTCACCCCAAAGTAACAGTGCCAGGAAAAGAAGCCCACATAACATGTGGCTGTGAAAATCTGCAGGGATTCTGTCTTCCCAGGAGAGACAAATACTACTGGAAACACAAGCACACTTAAAGGACCAGTGCACACTATCTCACTTGTGGCACTCACCTTGGGCTCCAGCAGAGGAACAGTGACTCAGAGGGGCAGGAGTCACATAGGGAGAGACTGAGTTGTGTAGCTTCAGGGAGAGAGCTAGAGGGAAGAACAGCCACCAGTGTCCTTGTGTTGAGACCCTCTCCCATGTTGCCCACAGATGCCATCTTTCCTGGGTCAAGCACTCTTCTCCGTGTGGCACTGGCCCTGAGAGTAACACTAGCCCTATTCTTCCAACTCCTTGGGGCTTTACCCTACCAAACTCACACACAGCTGTGGGATCTTCTAGGTGGGAGCCAGCCTGGGCCCACACTGCAGGCTTTCTTGAAAAACTGTCAATAAATTCTGGGTAAGCTTGGGGGTGCCAGACACACAGGGAGAGGCTGAGTTACATGGCTTTAGGGCAAAGGACATCCTCCCTTGTGACTGACAGCTGTCACCCTTCCTGTGCAAAGCCCTCCTTCCACAGAGTCAAAACTCAATCTACTTTAGCCTGATCAACTCTGCTGGCTTCACCCTGGGTACTTCCTGAGACCCCACCCTACCACAAGGGTTCATAGGCCTCAGACAGGTGGCAGCTGGCCTAGGTATACCTGGAGACCTTTGCTGAGTGGCCACAGACCCAGCACTGGTGCTAGTTTGAATCTGTATTAACTTGGTGGACACTATTCATCCTTAGCTGGTGACTTACTGAGAACCTGCCTCATGCAACTTACATTTCAGTGGCTGAGCCAATGGATAGCCAGCTGGTGGAGGCAGATCTCAAAGCATCTTGGGCCTTTTGCTAACATATCCCAGGCCTGATACTGGTGACAGCTGGTCTCAGTATACAGCTTGGCCATTCCCACATGCACACAGACCCAGCACAGGCAGCTACTAACTCTGGATCACTTCACAGCTTTTAACAGGTTGCCCAGGATTGGTCACAGTTAGCATCTGACATTGATCTGCTCTGGAGTCTCTCCCAAGAAGTCTCAGAACCAACACATCTAATGGCTTGGCTTAGACCACATCAGAGTGTGACCCAACTAGCTCTATAAGCAGCACACCCAAATGAAGGTCCTCACAAACATCAGACCCTATTAGGGCAAATCTGCTTCATGGGGTCACCCCACCCCCCACACACACTACACAGAAGTTTGTACACTATGGTCAGGGTCAACACTCACAGTCAAGCAGCTTGAGGGTCAACCCCATGCACAGATGGGCCAACAGCAATCAAGACTCAACTACAACAGGAGGGCTCACATAAGCCATGCAAGAGACATTCCTCGAGCACCCAGCTCTGGTGATTAGGCAGACTGCACCCTGAATCCCACAGACCACCTACTACATAAGGCCACCCTGCTGAGACTGGGAGACATATGGATCTACCTAATACACAGAAACAAATATAGAGAGACAGCCAAAATGGGGAGGTAAAAACTATGTCTCAAATGAAAAAAAAAAAAAAAACAGAAAAAGAACTAAATAAAATGGAGGCAAGAAATCTACCAGAAGCAGAGTTCAAAACAATGATTATAAGGATGCTCAAGGAATTTATGGGAAGAATGGATGAACTCAGTAAGAACAAGGTAGTAAACATAAAAAAGGACATAGAAACCATAAAGCATAACCAGTCAGGAGAAAAGAATGTAGTGTCTGAAATGAAGAATACATTAGAAGGAATCAACAGCACATTAGAGGAAGCAGCGGATTGAATCAATGATTTGGAAGACAAGGTAGCAGAAAATACACAATTAGAGAAGCAAAATTTTAAAAATAATTTAAATAATGAGTATAGTTTAAGGGACCTGTGGGACAACATCAGACATGACAACATTCACACCATAGAGGTACCAGAAGGAAAAAAAAACAGAGAGCAAGGAACCTTGAGAACCTATTTGAAGAAGTTAATGACTGAAAACTTTCCTAACCCAGTGAAGGAGAAATACACACAAGTCCAGGAAGCATAGGGAGTCATAAACAAGATGAACCTAAAGAGGCCCACACCAAAGCACATCATAATTAAAATGCCAAAGGTTAAAGACAAAGAGAGAATCTTAAAAACAGCAAGAGGTAGGCTCTTAGTTACCTACAAGGGAGCTCCCATAAGACTATCAGCTGATTTCTCAACAAAAACATTTTAGACCAGAATGAAATGGCCTGAAATATTCAAAGTGATGAGAATCAAGGACCTATAACCAAGACTGCTCTACCTAGTAAGGCTATTATCTATAACTGTAGAAGATA